AGGAGGAGGAGGAGGAGGAGGAGGAGGAGGAGCTAGAGGCGTTCGATGTGATTGTCGATGCGTATGGGTCGCAGGATCTGTGGTATGCGGCGAGAAAGTGGTTGAAGCCTGGCCCCGGGCATGTGTATGTCTCGGTCGGGCCGGCGTTGGAGGCGTATACCTTCCGCAGTGCGGTGGGGGTGTTAGTCAAGCAGATGTTGAATCGGTTCTTGCCGGTGTGGCTGGGTGGGATAGACAGACAATATCGGCAGGTTACGGCTTGGGTGGATGTGGAGAGGTTGGAGAGGCTGAGGGTGTTGGCTGAGGAGGGGGTCTTGAAGACGTGGATTGGCGGTGCTTGGGGGTTTGAGAATGCGATTGAGGTGAGTGGCTCAGGTATTCGTGGTCAAGGTTGCTGGCTGATGTGGTTGCTAGGCATATGAGGTCTTATTGAGTAAGCATGCGAAGGGCAAACTGATCATTCGTGTTCAGGATGAGGTACTGTCTACGACTGGAGATTGAGGGGGCTCTATTTCAATGTACATTCTTTGATCACATTACGAAGGCATTTGTCCTTGAAGGAGCTGCTGAATGAGCACGAGTAAAACCAGAAAACCAGGACTTGCTGTTGAGAATATTGTTTCAGGAAGAGTTGTACCAGGCTTAAGGAAGGGCAAGGGGAGCATGAACGTCTGACTTTATTTTACATTCACAAATGATACCCATCCATCATGACAATTACAAGAAACAGTCCCATCTACGCACAATGTTACGGAAATCGATCTCTAGGCCTCAGCATCAGCCTATGCAGATACTACCAAGGATAATTATTGCTCTCTGTCACTAGAGAACAATCTTCCCCGCACGTGAGGTTGATTCGGCTGTCTAATGGTTCTCTAACTATAGCCTGATGCTGACACGATCGCCGAGCCCTGCATAAACACCTGCAATGCAGCAATCCAGAAATAAAAATATAGGAGCATGTGGTACAGAGTATGCATTGGCCAAAATTCTCCTTGGAGAGTCATTTTCGCAATCCTTCAATGCCGAGTGGCTGTTTTCAAAATCTCCACGTGCAAGGGTGATGTTGCACGAGAATACGAGGCAGGGATCCGGCGCATGGGCACTTCATGCTGCTCAACCATTGATGCTACTACGTCATGACACTATGAGCTTCTTGACAAGACTTACGATGCGAAGATGGAGACCGAGGAACTTCTGAATGATCTCATTACGCCTGGTGCACACCCGCAGAGACTTACTGCGCTCTAGAGGAAGGTCATCGTCGTTTTCATGATGATCGAGAACGCGAAGCTGTGCATCCCTGTTCATCTCCTTCAGAGTAGCGCCGTATCAAGTCAGAACCAAGCCAGTGACTCAGACCAGAATCCTTCAGACTTACTTCCCGGGTCTACATTGCTCTTGACGAGGCCAAGTTAGCTACGTCGTGAGGAGATCACTCAACAAAGGAAGCCTAATTCATCCCTGCCAGAGGGAAAAGTATGGCTCAAGCTGGCAGCCACACAGTCAGCCAGACACATTCTTCCTGTGGTTAACTCTATCGCTTCGTATAGCAACAAGTCTCCGCGTGATGGGCAAGAACAGATACGTAAAACGTCAGCCCTGAATTCATCATTGGCCTGGCTTTGGGCCTTCTATTCTCTGCAATGCGAGAATGCGTGTCCCTTTAAACTGTCATGCACATTCTCCGTCTCGAATGACCGTTCTTGTGGAACAATGAGTGTAATCCTCAAGGCTATTATCGATATGCGAAATGTTATGACAACAACCAGAGGGGCACAATGGAGAGAAGTAAGGTATAAGTAGCGCCATTCTACCCTGGAATCCTCACTCGTTGAACAACTCTTACATACCTACAGCTCTACTCATCCTATATCCTCTTCTCTCATCACCATCCCACTTGAACCCAAGCCCATCTCATTCACTCCTCAACTGAAGCCCCCGAGACATCAATATGCAACTCACCCCTCTCACCATTGCCACCCTCCTAACCATCGCAGGCGCCGTCGCCATCTACAAACCGGCCACCGGCGACCGAGTCGACGTCTCCAAGGACTGGCAAGTCTGCTACAATGCCGTCAAGTAGGTAGCCTGCATCACCACCAATGCCTTCACTCCGCCCGCAACTGTTACCTGATTAAAAAATACTCTCCAGCACCGACCCCCAGCAGTTCTGCCTCTACATCACCAACTTCGTCGAATACCCTCCGCAGATCCTCGATCTGCTCAACCGCCAGCCGGTGCAGCGGGACGCGGGCTGCGTGACGATCCCTGGGAAGTGTTATCCGGGACTGCGGACGACAAGGTATGTTACCCCACGCCCCGGGTACTATCCAGACTTTGTTGGGATAATGGGCTCTAACAGCGTGGATCAGTCCCTATCGCGTGCGGGCGGCGGAGTGCGGGGATCCGAATACGATCTACGCCGAGTCCGGGGATTTCTGGCCGTCTCAGTCCAAGTGCCTAGCGACGACTCTTGCTAGGGTTGTCAGGGAGTAAACGGAAGTGGAAGTCTGGAGGTGGTATTCAACATACCTATGTTTTGGGGTTTCATGCATTTGTCTTTGGATGGTGGGTGGAAAGATGATGGGCTCGACGTGGAGGGAGCGGTTCTCAACATCGCCGGTTAAGGGCCACCAGAAATTGGATTGATTGGACGTAGGACTTGCTGTGTGGATGCAATTACATGGCTGTGAAGTGGACCGGTCGTTCTTGGCTCTTCTTGATCATAAATCTTAGAGCGGAATGCATCGTACCCGTAGTCAGGTAGGTGGGATCACGAAATAGTTCGAGGAAAGTCTAGCGATGGCACGTTTTGTGCATGAGGACCGTCGGGTTCAGGCCTTTATGCTGCGCAGAGAATCCCTACGTACGTCGGCCTCAGCCTGTTGAGCATGTTGCTGTAGCTCTCGAACAGCCGCGCGATGGATTTTGATTGCGTCTGAGATACAGTTCCATGGGGACGTGATTGGTGTAACTGCTGCCACTTCAGTCGCAGGCCGCAGCAGCCCTCGCATGCATCAATTCAATTTTTGGCTGTCCGATGCAGGAACGGGTGCATGACCTTCTACTGTGAGGACAACCCCTCCGCATCAGAAACCACGGACGATCCATGCGCTTATCCCTGGCTAGAAAATTCCAGCAGGACCCATTCTGTGAACGAGTATCCAGTGCATGTCAAAAAAAATCGACATTCTATTGTTCCTGTCCGAAGATGCAACTATACAGATAAATGCTGGAAACCCATCACAATGAAGAAAAGAAAAGAAAAGAAAAGAAAAGAAAAGAGATCCCCGAGCAGTGCCGGGCCAGAACAGGGGCCGCAATTGTATCGCCGCCCGGCCTGGAAAGTGGACGCCGACCGTGGCTGACCCCCGGGGTGTGATGCAGAGGACCTCGCGTAGACAAATAAAAGTGGTATCCCAAAGTCGAATTTTGCTGAAACTAACGCGCGCGCGAGACCGATGACTTCAATTGCGTATTCATATGTTGTCCGTGTTTACAGGGAGGTGTTGGGCTCGGCCTCCTCGTCCTCGACTTCCCAATCGCCGATGATCTCGGTGGTGTTACGCTTGCGCATGGTGGAGATCCATTGGGCCTGTAAGTGATGAAATCCTTCGTTTAGTGGATGCTCTTTGACGGAAGCGAGTTGATGAGACAAGTTGAAAGGAGTAAACCCACCTCGTAGGATGTGAACTCGCCGTTGACGCACTTGCCGGGCTGCAGGGCGTATCCTTCACCGGCACACTTGGCGGACTTGTAGGCAGTCAACACCAGGTCACCCGGAGTGGCCTTGATCGACTTCCACTTGGAGCTGGCGAGAGTGCCGCACTCTTCTAGGTTAGTACCATCGGTGGAGGAGCCATCGGCGTCGCCTTTGCAGTCCTTCTCGGTGTATCCCTTGATCTCGTAGGCTTGAATGGAAAGGCCGAGGGCCAGGGCGACAAGAAGAGATTTGAGCTGCATGTTTGGATGATGAGGATGAGGAGGAGGATGAGGAGGAGATTATCGGTCAGTGATCGAATGGGTGGATTGTTGGAAGTGAGGATGATGGGGAGTTGAATATGGCGGAGGCAGGAGAGAGAGCGGGCGGTCGGTCGGTGGTGGTCTTGGGTTTCAGGAGAGAAAAGAGGAAAGAACTTCTAGCCTCAACAAACAGGCTTCCAGGCTTCAGGGGTGGGTCAGGCACACCCGATTGTATTTGTTGCTATTTGTCCATCCCCTCAGCGCCGCTGGGGCGAACCATTCCTGTTCGGTGAAAGATTGGATTGCAGCGTGCCAAGTTTAGAACCTCTGACGACGACCACTGCAAGTCAGATTCATGTGTTTCATCGTTTTGGAGAATTGTGCAGCACAGCCAAGCAGCTGATTCTCCTTGGCAGGAACACTGCTACGATAGATACAACTGACAAGCAATAATCTAATAATCGAATCGATGGAGCAAGGCATTGTAGTCCGTACTGTAGTAGTATTGTGCCCCCCCTCGCTCCATCCTACCGAATGGGGCCGATCGATGGAATGTGGCCATTCGAAAACAACGCCACCCCACACCCCAGCCTTGACCAGACACCGGGCCGATAGGAAAAGCAGTGCACGCTGAGACAAATGCGACAATCGGCCAGACCTCAGCCTTTGAACCTTTTACTTTCGTTCCTGCAGCTGGACTCGGTCAATTGGAAGAATATAAGGAGGATTGGTCACGTGCGCACTTCTGTGTGTGACCACGTGAGTGATGCTGACACTGCACATGCACAAGCTGACTAAGTCAACCCATAACTGGTGGTGGACAATCACAACTTACTCGTTACTTTCTCCCCTTCAACTTAGCACCTACAAGCTATGGGCCAGATCTGCCTTTCCCCGGATAAATATGGCTGGCAAGCACGACGATATATCGTGAGGCTTCAACCTTCGGAGAGCTGCCCGGCTGCCGCGATCACATTTGCAATCCCAAAAAACGCTCTATTCTTCAACTAAAGTCAAAAATGAGTACTAGATTGAGATGATTCAATGTCTCTCGTCCGAGATCTATAAATCAATCGAAGAGAAATGATCGTTGGAATGCTGGATGATCTTGCAAATATCCGAGGCACAGTCAGGATACCGAGAAGCATTTTGTTTCACCGCAGCTCATTTCACCTACTTAGCACCCCGACTACTCTTCGATCCGATGGCCATTTTCAGCACCGGCAGGACTCGAAGTTGCGGTAGCAGTTTTCCCCGTCTGGACGTCTTCGTGGCCCTTCTCGACCGGTGTCTCGGAAGTGGTCTCTTCCTCATCTCGCGCATCAAGATGTACGTTACGCAGGAAGAACATCACAATCAGCATCGGAGCTAAAGCCGCCAGAGCAGCAATTGCCAAAAGGCGCTGCGACTCCCGATAGCTCCGGTCGATAGCATCACGAGCAGCCGTGCCAGGTTGATATTTCTTCGCCACGACAATAGAGCTGAAGATGGTGTGCGCCTGGGATTTGAGCGCATCGGGAAGATATTGCTCCAGCTTCTTGGGGAGGGTGCTTCGCCAGATGGCGCCAGCCACACTAATTGATACACTGGTCAGAATACACCGATCGCACAAGCACAGGTGGTACACTTACCTAGTTCCAATGGCTCCTCCTACGCTCATAGAAGCAAAGAATACTGCCGTCACGACGGAGACTTCCTGCCTGGACACGACGGCTTGGACGGAGACTTGAGCTGCGGTCTGGTAGAAGCCACGCCCGATTCCGATCAGCGATTTGGCCGTGACAAAGGCCGCCTCGCTTCCTGTTTTGCCATTGCCCATATCCACGAGGTAAAGAACAATGCCCATGCCGAGCACACAGAGGGGGACGCCCCCAAGAACCCAAATTTGCGAGCGATGAGTGTATTTCATGAAGAGCGAGGCGAAGATCCCTGCCACTTGAAAAGCTACTCGCAGCGAGTTGCTGTAGTCATCAACATTAGCAATGGGTTAGATTCGAGAGAGTTATGTGTTAGAGCATACTCAATCCGGGTGGCATTCCCTGCCTCAAAGTGTCCAGCTACTTGCAGGTAGCTGGTGAAGAAAACTGTGAAGACGGAGTAGTGGAAAAAGTCCAGGGCGCCCAGCAGGCAAGCAGCGGCCACGGTGCGGTTGCGGATCATCCGGTATGGAACAAATGGCTTCTTCGCGAACCAGGCATCCCACGCCAGGAAGGCAATTACAAACACCACGCCCATGACAAGCATGGCAATGAAAGAGCCGTTGTGTTGCCAGGCACCACTATTGCCTGAACCAGTCAGGGACAGTGGGATCAAGAACAGCGACAGCCCCAATAGAAGTAGCACGGCCCCCGGTAGATCCAGTTGAATCCACAGGAGATCATAGACCCGACGCCACCAAGGATCCTCGCTTTTCCACCCCAAAGCCGTACTGATGCGGACTCGTCGAGGGGCACGGTGCTGGTAAAGCACCATGCTTCCGACCAAGGGTGCTGCAGCAACGGGCAGCACAATTGCCCACATACCCCATCCCCAGCGCCACGTCGAGTGGTCGAGAATGTCTTGCGCAACGATGGTGCCTAGGTATAATGTCGGGATAGTTGTCAGGGAGTCGGGCAGTGTCGACCAGATACCTCGATTGACCAAGTTCGTTACGTCGGCGACGAATACTTGCTGGGTAAGGGCATAACCTGTTGAACCGATGGCTTCGAAGATTCCGGCGGCCTGCTCGCTCAGAGGAAGGGTCAGATATGCTCATAATGCGAATAGAGGAGAGCATACCATATACTGCGAGATGTTCTTGCAGCATGCATAGATGACATAGCCGAGTACCTGGGCGATGATTGAGAGGATGAACATTTCAGCTCGGCCAAAGACCTGGAATTGTTGTCAGCGTGGAGATTAAAGAGGTACAAGGCTTTCGTACATCGCCCAGTTTAGCAATGATCGGATATGAAGCAATGCGGGTGATGTTCATAACCACACGCGCAGCACTCATGGCCGAGTGCTGCTTGAAGGCGCTCGTCGTGTATGCAGTGTAAACCTGGGTGGAATAGTCGGCAAAGTTGACGGCAAAAGTGGCCAGGAACAGGCTACTACAGTCAGGCATGATCAGAACATTGCGAAGTCCGACACCTACCCAATGAAAGCAATGATCAAGCCTGTCTTGGACCAGATCCTCCGCAACTGCTCTGCTCTCTGGACACCAGCCTGAAGGCTCTCCGAGTCCGCCTGAGGGTTCTGCTCATGCTTGGTACTTTCCACTGATTGCTGAGTTGTGATCTCGGCCATGTTGGTTGAGGCGGGAGCAAACGACTCCTTTGTCTCTACGGACAAACTCATGGCGCTGCTCATCGTGAGTCTGCTTTTTTGCTTGCACGACAACAGTCCTTCGACCGAAGGAAGTCGGCGCAAGAAATAAGAATTTTGACCGCATGCCCAGCGGTGGCGTTTATTAGCATCAGGCGACGCCGAGCTTTTTTTTCGTGCATAGGTCCGGCTTCTAGCACTGACTCATGCAGCCAGAATTCCTGATGCCTCCACTGGCAATTCGTATAGGTCGTTCGATTGTGTGCAGCGGCTTCGGCGATCTAATCTAATCTGGCGATGCCACGCGAGATGTCGGACGACGACCGTGAGAGTTGGTCATTTCAATTCCGCAGACCCCGTTCTCTTGCCTGGACCTTCTCTGACTGGCCTGAGGGAAGTTCAATTCCGGATCAGATAATGGATGCCAAGGGCGCCAAGCGGAGCCAAGACCGTCCGCTGAAGGCAAAACAAAGCATCCGTCGGAAGCAGCGTGGGGGTGCACATTCAATCTGCTTCCGATCCGGCACCGAATATTTTCCGTCCCATTTGTGTGTCATAAAGGTATCCTTGTGTCTTGCTTGTGACTGTGACCATAGTTGACACCGCGACAACATGACTCAATGGACCTTTGCCCGATCCGATAACGGCGGAATCCCGAATGTGGCAGCATGGACTGTTTCCAACGCACAGGGATCATCTTATCAGATCCAGCTTGCGTGGCCGCTGAGCTGGAACACTTTACAGGTCTTGGCCAAGGTCAATCTTGTGTACGTCTGCCAGCACATCTTGCGCCGAGGTTGAAAAGTTCTGCGACTCACATGAGCCAGTTACCTTGTTGACGGAAACGCCGTCTTCGGAACTGCATTGGACGCTGTTCGTCGCCGTCGGCCTGTTTCACCCGATGAGCCGGGGACTATCGTCGTCGCGATTGGCTATCCCTTGACCGACAGGGTTTATGATTCTCGCCGTACGGTGGACTTGACTCCACCGTGCGAGAGTTATGTTCCCCCAAACGGGCCCGATGGCGAGCCCCGTCCTGAACCACATGGCGGGGCGGACCAATTTCTGTCCTTCATCAAGAGGATTGTTGAGCCATTCATATTGTCTTCGGTTTTTTCTTTTGTCACACCCGTCAGGACTGCCCTGTTCGGCCATTCGTACGGGGGCTTGTTCGCGTTGCATGTCCTGTTCACGCGACCGGAGAGTTTTGACACTTTCTTGGTGGCGAGTCCGTCAATCTGGTGGAATGATCGGTTCATATTGACGGAAGAGGACCGACTCTATGACACCCCTGCACGTCGATCTCTCCCCAGGGTGCGCCTCTCTTACGGATCTCAGGAACAGTTTCCGGCCCGTCGTCGAGGAGAATCGCAGGATGTGTACGAAAGACGGAAGAAAGGTGCTGCCCAGCGTCGTATGACAGACAACTGCGATGAGCTGTACCAACGACTGACCTGTAGTGGCCGGGTGATGTGTGAGAAGAGGGCGTACATCGACGAAGATCATGGAAGTGTCATTGCACCTGCGTTGAGTGGGGGGATTTTGTTCTTTTTGGATTCAGTTCCAATGGGACCTTGATAACCCCCTGAGCCAATTTGGTCCAGTTTGAGGAAAAGAGAGTTGATCTGGTTGTTGTGGTTTTGGCGTGAGAGAGAGCTCTGGGAACTCACAGTATAAGTCCGATATATATCCCCGACAGAATCTTCTGCACACGGCACACAAAAGCCACCATGTCCCTACTCGGACTATCTACCATCCTCACAGTCCCCATATTTGTCCTGTATTCATATCTCTCTATATGGCATGCTTTTCGCCCCGAGGAGATGCCCGGGGTGATGACTAATTCGGCGGCGAAGGCACGGACGGAACTCCGCCCGTCGGCGGGGTCATTTATCGCTACCTTAACCATCCCAACTACATCCTTCGTTCATGGACAAAAGAACAGGTCTCATCTGAGAACCACACGGATAGATCGGTGATGCAAGCTCTATTGGTGCTAAATGACTGCTGAATTTTGATTACAAATATCACGTTATTGATTAGAATGGATCCATCTCCTTTGGCCCGACGTCGAGACCGTCGGGCTGCCCCCCGCAGCCGGACCACCACGGCATGCGCTCGCTGCCAAAAACGAAAGATTCGGGTAGGTCCCTTCTGCATGATTGATGACATTGAATGCTGGTCTTTTCACTCGACTCAGGCATTAATGGATTTCAGTGCGATGGGGTTGTTCCTGTCTGCGGCGGTTGCCAACGGGCCCGTGTGGACTGCATTGAGGGGTGGAATGTCCGGGACATTTCCCGTAGGTAGGCTAGTCTTGCACTGTGACTACCTAGTTATCGCTGAAGTTCTCATTGACATCTAAATACAGTCATGTGGAAGAGCTAGAAATACGCATTGAATGGCTGGAGTCAATCATACAGGAGCACTTGCCACATATTGACCTCAGCAAGTTTGACTCTGGTCACTTGAATCATCCTCGGAGCTCTGAATACGGAGTGTCTACAAATTCTGCTACTTTCCAGACCCCTGTTCCGCAGACTGCGCATACTAGAGATGGCTGGAACCCAGCTCGTGACGTAACGGATCAACTAGGTTTGGTATCGGTCAATGCTGGGGCAGATCTGCGCTATCTAGGGCCCTCTAGTGGGCTGTTCTTCACGAGATTTGTGCTGACAGGTCTAGAGCGGCGAGCTGAGATAACACGAGAATCACCCCCTGCTTCGAAGAACGATCAATTTGTCCCTGCGGAGCTTCTCGACATCCAACCGAAAGATCTGCCATCGGACTTAAAACAGGCGCGATGGTTGACGCAGGCATATTTTCAGGCGGTCCATTTACAGTTCCCGTTTCTTCACAGACCCACCCATCTGGAACTTCTTGAGAAGGCTTACAGCGGCGTGGATGTCACACCCATTGATCATTTTCAGATTTTCATGGTTTTGGCTATCGGTGCCACCATTCGATCTCGCCAAGCAAAAGTGCTACTTTCAGCTGAAGGCTACTGCGCCTCTGCAATTCTCCATTTGGATGCCGTTTTTCATCAATCTTCTCTGCGCGGTGTGCAGTGCATGCTGCTTCTACAAATGTACACGATCAACAACCCAACCTCGGGGATCAGCCTTTGGACCCTCCATTATAACTCCCTGGCCGCCGTAATGGAGCTCGGACTGCATCGGAATGCTCAGGGCTCTGCCTTCACCGAGTTCGATCAGGAGATGCGCACCAGGGCTTTCTGGTGCGTCTATATGATGGACCGCTACTTGAGCACCTTACTCGGCAGGTCGATAGGTTTAATAGACGAGCAATGCGACTTGAGGGTACCTCACCCGTACCGTACATATCCATTGATGAAGAAGGCACTGAACGTTACAGTTACCGCGAGAAATCAACGATGAAGCCCTGAAGCCCAACCAAGAGGTATCGGCTCCAGCCACTGGAGCTAGAACCGATATGTCTAGCGCAATCCATCTCTTCAAGCTTGCTCGGTTCAACGCTGAGATCAAATGTGTGCTATATTGTGTCGACCGAAATTATCCACCATACACGCAGCCTGCTATAACGGACGTCAACGAATGGCAGGAAGATATGCTGAACCGTCTGCGCCAGTGGAAGTCGTCCATCCCGTGCCATCCGCCAGATAGCCCCGCATGCTATCTGAATGACCTGCTAGAAATTAAGTACTACGAGCTCGTGATGCTGGTCGTACGCCCGAGTCCGCTCTTCAATCATCCCTCCAGAAGCCTGATTCGGCAATGCTTCCATTGCGCCTTGGAATGTATTCGGCTCTACCGTAAGCTTTACGTGAATAGTATGCTGCACTATAACTGGATGAATGTACAGTCGTTGTTTCTATGCGTGGTGACGATATTCTATTGCGTCTGGGCACCGGACGGGGTGGGCGACGAAACCGACCTTGATACTGTTTTACACGCACTGAAGTCCGCGTCCGACATTCTCAGCGCCACCGGAGAGTACTGGCTCGAAGCCAAACGAAGCCGCGATGTGTTGGATGGCATCACAAGGGCTACGGTACGGCGATTCGCGCGGAGTCTTGCGCGCGCGGGCCAGTCCTCACCATCACATCCAGGGGGCGACATCCATCGCAGCCCTGGTGATCAAAGGATAGCTGGATTGAATAGCTTGGATACTGGAGCGTATGCCGCTGGTATCGGACAGGCCGAACAGGTCTTATTTGATCCGTACTATGTCCCAACGCAGCAGCCCGCTGCGACATCCGAGCTCCTGTCGTTCTTTGCAGGGCTCCAGTCCGACACGACTTTGGACTGGTGGAACCTTCCGTGGGATCTACCGGGCGGGATGGGAGATATGATGCAGAATATGGTCTCTGGAGGCCAGTAGTTTGATATCTTTGCCAACGGCCATGGAGATCTGGAACTGTGAGTGCGGGTCATCGAGCGGTGTACGCCCGGATATCTGGACCTAGAGACCCCAGGGGGGAGGTGGAATCCTAGCTGAACGATTTGCTGGGGGCTTATTCGAGACTGCACATAACAAGTTAAGCAACAGAAACTGAGAAGCATTTATCTATGACAGGGAGCCGGAAGTGATGGATGCGGATGTAGCTCCGCGATGGTGCCCGCATACCCCGCACCATTAGTCTGCTCATACTCATATAAGTATCTTGTCTTTTCAACTTCTTTACCCTGGTAGCCATCTTCCTAGCCCACAACATACATACACCCTTACACATCGAAGCAAACTCACATATGTACAATGCCCCTCTACGAGATTGAGCACAGCATTCCCCTCGACAAGCCCCAGCGCGATGCCCTCGCGCAGGCCATTACCCACATCCACACCCGCCGGTTCACCACCCCGAGCCTGTTCGTGAACATTAAGTTCGTGGACGCCCGAACCCAGCACAACTATGTCGCCGGGAGGGATGTTCGTAGTCGCACCTCACTATCCTTTCTCTTTACATGAAAGCAAGGCCAGCCTGACAGTATGATGAAACATCGAGTAGAGAAGCATCAACCGCATCATCGCCTACGTCCGCACCGGCGGTTCCCGCACCCACGCCGACTTCGAAGAGACCTCGCTGCGGATTGCCCACGCATGGGATCAGATTGTGAATGCAGGCGGAAAGGTCGGGAAGGAATGGGAGTTGAGCCGGGTGTTTGTGATGGGGGCGATTGTTGCGGGGCTGGAACATGGGGTGTTATTGCCTAAGGCAAGTCTATCTTTCTCTGTGTTATTTGCATCGCGGGCACCACTACTAAACTCATATTATAAATTTCAGGCGGGTGAAGATGGGAAATGGCTGGCACAAAACACGGAGAGGTTTCAAGAGCTGGCGGAGCAGGGGGATGAGGATTTTCGGGAGTTGGTGGAGGAGATCACGGCGCGGGAGGATTTGGGGAGGTAGACTTTACAGTGCATGATTCGGTGCCTTTGGGAGGGGTCAAGATTACATACTCATACAGAGCTTTCTAGGGAATACACTGCTAACTACGGAGTACACGTCACTAAATTTAGTACCAATTTGCGATAACGGGACACATTCCCGTTGTCTCTTGCCCCACTGCGGCCGTGTCTCCGTCTTTACGGGGAGATGCCCGCTCCGCTCGCCTGGCCGTGCCCTAAGACGGGGCTGGGACCGCAACGGCTCGTGTGTCCGCTTGGGCTTGTTTTTTTGTCCTAGTTTAAATTTATTTTGATCATTGCAGCCCGATACCATTAGCTTGGTATTCCTCACCTATCGTCTATCAGACAGATATTGGCCCTATCTCACTCGGAATCAATACTTTAAGGCCTATATAGTGACTCGGAGAGGATTATTAATCATTGCATATGTCTAATCATGAAAAAGTCCTCATCTGAGCGATTTTTGGTCCCTGAGGATAAAGGCTTAGATACGAGGCTGTTGTCTATGAGGAGCGAATGTGATAAAAGAAGTTCCGCTGATGGATGGCCCCTTAATGCTCATTGACAAGCACGTACCGATACCGGGCCTTGCCAGCGTCCATATCCTGAATGGCCTGGTTGGCCTCCTTCATCGGCACCTCCTCGACCCACGACCGTACATTCTTGCTCGCAGCGAGCTCCAGCATCTCTCGAATCTCCTCGGGCCCCGCCATCAGTGAGCCCGCGACTTTCAGGCGGCGGAAGACTAGAGCTTCCGCGGGGATGGCCAGGGTGCCGTCCGCGGGCACACCGAGCTGATGGAAGCAGCCGTCGGTTTTCAGCAGAGAGAGGTAATCCCGAAGAGGCATCTACCACTCGATTAGCATCGCTGCGAAGAGGACAGGACAAAGCAGTGCATACCTTGGAAGATGAAACGGTAGAGATAATCAGATCCAACGACCGTGCATTCTTCTTCGCCCAGTCCGGATCCTCCGCAGTGGCAATATAGACATCCGCCCCCAGCGCCAGAGCGTCCTCCCTTTTATCCCCGCGCCGCGAGATGGCAACGACCTTCTCTGCTCCCAGCGCTTTGGCAAACTGAATCGCATAGTGTCCTATGCCCCCGACCCCAATCACAGCCACCTTCTTCCCCGGTCCGCACCCATTCTGCCTCAGCGGGGCGTAGGCCGTGATCCCAGCGCAGAGCATTGGCGCCGCGAGCGCCGACGGGATCGCGTCGGGGATCTTGACCATGAAATGCGAGTGCGCGCGGTGGTAGAGGGCGTAGCCGCCGTAGGACTTGGCCCCGTTCCAGTGCCGCGCGTTGTAGGTTAGCCCCAGCAGGCGCGGGCAGTAGGTCTCCCGGCCGGACGAGCACTCCTCGCAGGGCCCGTCGCGGTTCAGGCAGGCGTCGTTCTGGGCGCCGACCCCCACGCGGTCGCCGACTTGGATATTGTTCTCAGCCTGCGAGCCGACGCGCACAGCGATGCCGACGATCTCGTGGCCCGCGCAGCAGGGGTACATGGCTGGGCCCTGTAGCGAGCGTTCAGTTGGATATGGTCGACGAGGTCGGCGTCGGCAGTTTGGAGGCTGAAAGACTTACCCAGCCACTGCGGAGAGTGTGCAGGTCGGTTCCGCAGATTCCACAGTGGGTGATTTTGATGTCGACGTCGGTCTCTTCCCAGGGTTTGGGTTCGAACTCTTGCCAGACCATCTTGCCCTCACTCGCTTCGGGGCCGAGGCCCATCCAGCCTTCGAATTTGTACTCGGTCGTCATGGTGTTGGTTGTGAGTTTTGATGTGTCGGGGCGATTAGGGCTCTGAACGAAGAAGCTGGGCTTGGAATCCAGGAGCATCATTCTTCGCCCGGATCAGTGTACGCTTTATAGCCCAGGTTTGAAGAGGCCACAACCTGCTCGGTCGCAATATCGGACTGATTACAGCAACACAGTGCTCATATCTGACGCTATTGCGTTAGTTTGGCTCGGATAAGACCGTCTCCGAGTGAATACGATCCCGCGGAGTGTTCCCCGTCGCTCTAGCGGATGCCGCTCCGTGAGGCAATACGGGGACCACGACTAATCATGATATTGATATCTCCGTACAATCAACCATCTCGGAAAGATTATGAGCGATGACAAAAGGGCCAGCTTTTGGAACCTTCGAAAGCCCCCCAATCATGTCCACATGCATTTAAAACGCCCGTGGCTTGTATGCGGCTAGCTATAAAGCTCTCCCGTCGTAGTCCAAGTTCGATCCCAGCCCCAACTTCTTCTCCTGAGTCAATCACCCTTGAGAAATCACACACAGCCCCTTTATCATGTCTCCTCTAACCGCACTACGAGCCGACCTGTACGCCGCTCCCTCTATCCCCACCAACGCAACCTTACCCGATGGCTCGATTGGATACTGGCAACCGACGGTGGTGACCCTGATCTCCGGACAGTCCGAAGCCGTCCTCGTCGACACGCTCTTCACCCACGACCAGGGCGTGTCGCTGGGCGACTGGCTTGACGAGACCCTGAACGGCAAACGCCTGGCGACGATCTACATCACCCACGGCCACGGCGACCACTTCTTCAACCTGCAATACCTCACCCAGCGCTTCCCGGGGGTAGAGGTGGTCTCCACCCAAGCCTCCATCGACCACATGGCCACGCAGATCACCCCCGAATTCCATGCCTTCTGGAACGATCTCTTTCCCGGCCAAATTGACACCGATTCCTTCCAGATCTTGGCCAAACCACTGGAGGATAACAAGTTCACGTTGGAGGGCCACACCTTTGAAGCCGTGGACGTCGGACACTCGGACACCGACGAGACGACATTTCTCCACATCCCGGACCTGGATATGGTTGTCGCTGGGGATATCGTGTACAACGACGTCCACATGTGGATGACGGAGTCGCCGGAGCAAAGGCAGCGCGATGCCTGGCTGCACTCGTTGCGCGTGCTGGAGCGGTTTGATCCGGCGGTGGTCGTGGCCTCGCACCATCGGCCCGGCGGGGTGGATGGCGCGTGGAATGTGCGTGCCTCGATGGAGTACATCCAAACGTTTAGCCGGTTGGTTCAGGAATCGACCAGTGCGAAGGAACTTTATGATAAGGTTGTGGCAGCGTATCCGGATCGGATTGGGAGGCTGGTTTTGTGGCTGGGGTGCAAGGCCGTCTTTCCCGATAATATCGGGGTATAAACTGGGAATGGATGAAAGCAGATTGCGATGGACCGGAGCTTGGGATGAGATACATGACGTTCTAGTGGTGAATCTCCCTCTTTATCTCTAGATCGCTTAGATATGGTGCACATGTTATCCCTCACTTCACTTGTGCTCATTTGCATATAGTAGGGGCGTGTGCGGAGGGTGTTTCGAAGTTCACATCTTCATATACTCTCCCATAGTCAGTAAAGTAGATAGAGACGACCATCATAGGTCTTTACACTTGTGTTTGTATCATTACACAAGTATCTCTGTATAGTAAGTCAAGTGCAGCTGGGCCGATGAAAGATTTAGCATCAATACTTAAAGGTTCTTAGTGTGATTTGGGAAGGAGTTGACTTATTGTTTTAAATTTCCCCAAGATGCACAGCCCCTTCAGGCCGACATTTCCCCGGCGTTCCGGCGGGGAATCCTCGAACGGCGCGCTTTGGCCACCACTAGATAGATGTGCCCACAGGTCAACTTCAACCCCTTCCCTTCTAACAAAAGTTCCCTACACAGAGGCAGAGATATAGTGTGAGTGACGATGACGGAATATACATCGAGGACCGTAATTGCCAACGCCAGGTCGTGTAGACTGCAGCAGCGACACCGAGTGCTCTTTTCTTGCCCTAAGTGCGAGTGGCCGACTGTTTTGCCTTTAGGCCTAAGGGTCCTAGGGCCCTAGGGTCCTGGGTCGGAGTGGGGTCAGAGATAAAGTGCAGCTGGATGGAGGACTTCATTGGTGATGAATGCTAGACCAATACATGTAGTCTACTCCGTAGGTACTGTGGTTAGCCTACCTGTACACAGGCCCAGCTGTGCACGCTCCTAAATAGGTATTGTATGTTGACCGCAGGATCATTCCGGGCGGGGCCCAGCGGGGCCCAGCGGGGCCCGGGTAAGGCATCGCATTTTCCGACAGCCAAGTCGTTTGGCAGACAGTAGATAAGGGGTTAGGGGTCTCATGGGTTCGGCCCGGAGCCTGATCGATATACATCGGAACCTGCTGATCCAAAAACCGCGCAGTCTAGGTGGGTCCTTGCGTGGAGCTGAACACTTGCCTACCCATATTAGTGTACCCAGTAGCCAATCAGTGTAGCCAGCGTTGGGGAGGGGTGGTTCTCGGGGAGACTTGGAGAGCTTGAGTGAGACAAAATCTAAGACAGCAAGCAGCAAGTATCAGTCGAGGGATTAACTTGCATTCACCGGTGAGGGAGACTCTCGAGGCACTTCCAACTTACCTTACCCGTCGAGAACGAAATGAAGCGTCATACAAAGCAGTGTAAAAGGCTTCATTTTTCCTCTCTGCTGTACTTCTGTGCTATTCTTCCATCGCATCTCACTCTTACCCTCTGTTCAATCTCCCGGACTCTGCTCCATGTTGGTGTCTGAAGCACGCCTTGCTCGTTTTTGTTGTTTCACAATTTTGGGCACCTCCCTTTGCTGGCTCTATGTTGCTTATAAAGGCTTCGATCCTGACGTTAAATTTATTCTCTGGACTATCGTCGGCCCAGCCTTCTACGCCACCTTCGGATGGCAATGGCGTACAGTGGAGTGACGGGCAGCGGCTGCCTGATTACTGGTTTGCCTACGATCTCGATGACGCCGAAGCCTCGGCTGCCCCCGTCCTCGAGGCGGCTTACGAGCAAACCACCAACACGGCCATCAATAAATTGGCCGTCCGTGAGCCCGTCCAGGTCTGTGAAAGCACCCTCTCCCGCATGGCCCAGTGCGCGACTATTGCAGGGGCTGTTTTCAGCTGGAGCGCGGCGATTGCAGGGGCGGCCTGGGCGTGGTCCCAACATAAAGATTGCAGCCTCCACTCTGGCACGATCGACGGCTGGCAGTACCAGTTCCATGCTACCGGGCGCAATTGCGACACCACCGCCCAGCAGAAGACCATCCATGGTGCCATCTATCACTATCTTTCCGCGATCGAGGGCAACACTGTCTGCGGCACACAGTGTCTGTCACTAAAGCATGGAGGCAGCTATGCCGGCTACCTGAAGTTTGGCAAGGTAGGCGTCTTTGATTCCGGCGCCTACTGTGGCCCAACCCTGCATTTCGAAAATTGTGCCTCAGGTGGCGTGAACAGCTTCTAAGGGGGTTCTTTTTCTTGTTTTCCACGTTTTCATTGGAGCTATAAGAGAGTGATGGCGGTAGAAGGTGGAAGAAAGAGGGGAGGGACTGGAGGTGATTGGTCTTTTGGGGGGCCGGTGTGCTTGAGAAAGACTAGGAGGGGCTGTGGTTGAGATTTGTTTTCAATGGTGAAAGGTTCTTGGAGGTCAAATGTGAACATTTAACACTCAGGGTACTCTTTCCTGCTCAAGTCTTTGGGATGTTGAAGTACTTTCCGAGCGGACAGCGAAGGACATGGTAATCGAACTCCAACGTTTTTAAGGTGAACCCCAGTTTGTCATCACTGGGACGTAGACACCCACTGTCCAAACATCGCCACTTGCCTCAAGCATGGGAGATAAATTCCAGAATGGTAGAGTAACCGGCATATCAATAACAAGTCCCTGATCCAGAAGCGATTACAAAAGTCTTCTCCATAGTCCGGACTTAAAAATTGTAGCTTTACTCCGTAGTCATGTCGATACAAGTAACATAGCAACAGCAGTGTACAGGAGCAATCGATCTCTGAAAGTAAATCTACAAGGCTTCACTATCATGCAACAAAGCAATGAAAGCTCTTCCTATCGTCATGCAGCATTGCATGCTTATCAACCCAATCATCGGGCAACATCTCCGATACCAAGGATGACGTGATTCACCACCACCATGGCGCACGAGCAAGCGCAATTGCTATATAATCAACTTGCATAGACTAATATCTCTGCTCTAGAGATCTCTCACCGCACACATCACCATGGCTCCCAGTTCACCCGAGTCGACCCCCTACGAAACAGCCAAACAGCCCACCGCCCAAATCAAAGATGAATCTCACGACGGCGCCCTGCAACTTCTTGCCGCCGGCAGCAGCGCGACGACCCTTGACCCAGAAGCCGCGCGCAAGCTCGTGCGCAAAATCGACCTCTACATCATGCCGCTAATTTGCGTCGTCTATTTTCTGCAGTATCTCGATAAGATCGCCATCAGCTACGCTAGCGTGACGGGGCTGCGGGAATCGGCCCACCTGCACGGCAACCAGTACAACTGGGTCTCGAGCATCTTCTTCTTCGGACAGCTGGCGTTCAGCTTCCCAACGGTGCGACTGCTGCAGGCCTTCCCTCTGGCGCGCTACGTCGCCGTCAATGTGATCCTCTGGGGCGCGATTCTCGCCTGCATGGCGGCGTGCCACTCGTTCGCGGCGCTGATGGTCTGCCGTACGTTTCTGGGGGTGGCTGAGGCAGCGATTGTGCCCGCGTGGGTGGTCTTCACGTCGCAGTGGTATCGCAAGGAGGAGCAGGCCTTCCGGGTCGGGGTGTGGTTCGCCATGTGCGGGTTCGCGCAGATGTTCGGCGGCTACATTGCGTACGGAATCGCGGTGCATGTCGGGGACAGTGCGGCGCTGCGCGGGTGGCAGATCATCTTCCTGGTGCTGGGCGGGTTCACCGTGCTCGTCGGTGCGGTGTTTCTCTTCCTCCTACCGGATTCGCCCGTCACGGCGCGGTTTCTGTCCCCCGCGGAGAAGGCGCTGCATGCGGAGCGGCTGCGCGGGAACGAGCAGGGTATCGGGAGTACAATCTTCAAGAAGGCACAGGTCGTCGAGGCGCTGACGGACCCCCTGACCTGGTTGTATGCCTTCTGGGTGTTTGCGGCCAATGTACCCAATTCGATTGCGACGAGCTTTGGGAATATTCTGGTGACGGGGATGGGGTATTCCTCGCGGCAGAGCCTGTTACTGGTCACGCCTTTGGGGGCGTATGAGGTTGTGGTGTTGGTTGGGTTGACGTATCTGAGTATGAGGACGGAGCAGAGGCTGTTCTGGTGTATCGTCGGGCACATACCGTCGATTGTGGGGGCGATTCTCATGGCCACAACGGAGAAGACCCCCGCGTTGATCGGGTACTATCTGTCCGGGGGCATCCCCATCGGATGGACGACGATCCTGGGTCTGACCAGTACGAACGTGGCCGGGTCGACCAAGAAGATCACCGTCTCGTGCATCCAGACCGTCGCCTACACGGTGGGCAATATCATCTCCCCGCAGACCTTCCAGGCCAAAGATGCCCCGCGGTATCTCCCCGCCAAGATCTCCATCGTCGTGCTGTATGCTCTGATCACGCTAGATCTGTGTCTTATTCGGTGGGTGTCGGTGCGTGAGAACCGAAAGCGAGACACGGAGAAGGAGGCCGCGGGCGAGGCGTATGTTGTGCAGCAGAATCATGAGTTCATGGACTTGACAGACCGAGAGAACTGCGAGTTCCGATATGCCATCTAGTCAGATATGGCTTGATATTAGTTTGCAACGGTACTTAGTCCTGATGGGTCTGGGGTGTGATATGCTAGAATATAATCCATGATCCCTGTGGACATGGCTATATGCGCACCACTAATCTTGCTGTCTCCGTGATTATTCTTTCGCAATTCCTGGCAGGATTATGACTCAGCTGTCTCAGCTTCATCGATATTCACTGTCTAACATATCAAAAAACTTATTTCATGGAACGTTCTAGCCCTGGCTCAAATATCCCGTGATAGGATTTAAACTTTCTCTGAAGCTATTCAGGAAATTGGCTGAATAGGTTTTCAGACATGAGCTAACGCGTTCCGGCTGCACTACCTGTGAATAACTTCAAGATATCAGATCACGTGCATCCAGGGTCACGTCTATATCTTCACATCTACAGTTCAAGACTTTCCTCTTCTTTCCGTCTTCCTTCCTCCTTCTTTCATCCACCACACACCATCTCTCATCCACATCCTCCCACTTTCATCCATCTCGCACCAGCAATCATCCATCTCATACTACCTTTCATCCATCTCATACCATCTTTCATCCATCTCACATCATCAAACACACTCTTCTATCCACTCTGATCACCATCCGTGATTATGCATCTTTCCGAACTCCCTGCGGAGGTCCTCCTCAACATCGGAACACAGCTTGGGGACGATGGCCTGAGCCGACTCCTCCGTACCAACCGCTGGTTTCACAATTTCTTCGGGGACGAGATCTTCAAGATGCACGTGCAGAGGACCAAGGGCATCGCGCTGCTCTGGGCCGCGGACCGCGGGGACGAGATGCTGGCGCGAAAGTTCCTCGACTGTGGTGCCAACCCTAACGTGGGCTGGGGCCCCCGAGTCCCCGGCCAGGGAGACTGGGCGCTGCGCACCGCCGCGCGCTCCGACCTCTACTGGCGCCAGGATGGCAACCGCACCCACCTGACCCCCCTGACGCTGGCCGCGCAGAAAGGCTACCTGGACGTTGTCAAGCTCCTGCTTGCGTACGGCGCCGACCCAGGCCGCCACAACCGCGAGCATCAGACCGCGTGCCTGGCCGCCATCTCGGCGCTGATCGAAAAGGCCCACGACGGCCGCCAGTATCACAACTCGTGGGACCGGCTGTCCGACTTCAACCAGCCGCGCCGGCCGCTCGACCCGCAGCTGCTCGCCGTCGTCGACTTCCTGATCCATCTGCCCGACGCCATGTACGGCACCCACGGCTACCGCGTGCTAAACCTGGCGCTGCAGTGGCCCGACCAGGACCTGGCCGTCTACATGCTCCGCGACGAGCAGCTGCAGGCCTCGTTCTGTGAGCAGCCCGGCTCGCAGTTCGAGCACCTGCTCCGCAACGCCGCCCTCTTCCACCGCGTCGTCTTCGTCGACCACCTGCTCAACGTGGCCTACGCCAACTTCCACGTCCACGAGTGGGGCCGCCTGGCTCTCATCGCCCGCGATGCGACCCAGGAATACTATAGCCATGCCATGGGGCACTACTACCTCATGTACAAGTACGTCGCCTTCTTTCTTTTTCTATGCGTCTGGGTCTGTGTCTGGGTGTATGTGGCCTGGTGGTGGCTGTGATGGTGAGGGACTTTCGGGAGCCCTGCGAGTTGACCGAACTGACTTTCGTTCCCGCCAGCTTTCACCCCGCCAGCGCCGTCTGATTTTGCACCGTGATGGAACAGGAAAACACAGCCGCGGTTGGACTCTCATTTGGGTGGCAGGAAAACACAACCGCTGGTTGGACTCTCATCTGGATGGTAGGAAAACACAACCTCCGGTTGGACTGTTACCACCGCGTTGATCGGCATGGTTCTTGGTGTGTCTTTCAGTAAGAAAGGTATGTTACCAAGTATATGCCTTCGAGATGACAGCAAGAAGATGGAAGCTGACTCGACCTTGCTACTGGTCCCTAGGACGAAGAAACTTGAAAACCTTCTATCCCACGGGACGACAGGAAAACACAACCTCGGTTGGACTGTCATCACCTCGTTGACTTGATTCTTAGTTTGTCTTTCAGTCAGTATGGTATGTTCGACAAGTATATCCCCCCGAGATGATGACATGAAGGTGTGACTAACTCGATCTCGCCACTCCCCAGCAGGACGAAAAACTCGAAAAGCCTTCTATTCCACGGGACGACAGGGAAACACAACCCCGTTTGGACTGTTGTCACCTCATCGTCGAGCTGGTTCTCGCTGCTGGAAGGGATACAAAGATTGCTAAACGTGGTTTTGCTTTGGATTTCGATTGATGTTTTTGAGATTCCTGAGATTGGTTTATGTTTTGAAAAATGACTTGAAATGTGTTCATGAATTATGTAAGGGAGGTGGAAAAACATCATGTCACCAGAAGGAGGTGTTCCAGAATGTGAATAGCAAGGAAATGAAGCTTGTGCTTTGCTACTTGGTGTGGTTCCATACTGCGTATCTAGCTCTTGCGTAAGTGGTGCGGATATAAACAGTTGCTAGTACTAGGCTCGTAAATGGTGTAGGTGGTGCACTGACAATCATAGATTGGTTACTTCCTATATGCTGGGTACAAAGTAGATTGGTGTAGATGTTGTCTTTGTTTCTTAAGTATCTTGTGTGTAGAAGGCAGGGCATGTTTGGTCCAGCCTACTGGCAGCTGGCGGTATAAGAAATGCAAATATCGCAGTATTACCCCAAAAGTAGGTTTCCCAGTGCACTGTTTTGCCAAGCTCTATGTGTTCGTGCATAATCTGTATAATTTCGATACGCATAGTCTTGTTATCGATTCTGTGTGCATTGTCTACGGAATCTGTGTTGTTTTCTGTTGCGACAAGATGCTTGATACGATGTCGACCGTATAACTGGAACCATATAATAATCTCGAAAGCGAGGTAAAGAGCTCATCGAAGCTAGGTTATTACTCTGGTAACAAGAATGCAGTAAGACTAACATCTGAACTTTGAACACCGATATCCTTGTTGCCATTACAAAGAGATAATGTGATTTTAGGTGAACAGCCAAAAACTGGCCTGGACTACGTTAATTTGCAAGCTCAAGAAAAACAACAAGAAATCAAAAGTCGCGTGCAGAAAGGAGCAGAAGTACTGCAGATGTTAGCAGTTGGATATAAGCCCAGACTTGATAATGGGCTCATTAGATGCAAGGAGAAACGCAGGGCAAGGTGCGCAGCCAACGCCGCCGCGCCCCCCTTGCCGACTTTTCTCAACTCCGAAGCAGCAGCACCACAACCTACAATCTACCACATGCCATCGTTTACACACAGAACGACCATAAATTTAACCGCAGAAGCTTACTTGAACCACCACCTAGGAATAGTATATACACGCACCCCCCAAAATCACCCACACCTAACAATCTAAGCAACAGTAACCGTCTGGTTCAAAACCTCCAAGTAAGGGGCCGCGGACGCCTGCATCCCACACCGTCAGCATTCTGATCAGTCCAAACCTATCACCAGAAAAAGAATGCTTACCCCGACCAAAGTGGCATGCGCCACCCCGATGACTGCCTGGCCCGCCGCCGCCGACGCGGGCACTGTGACGGTGAAGTTCTCGTACGGCGGCAGGTAGTATTCGTGGTAGACGGGGTTGAAGGCGCCGTTGTAGAGGATGGTGCCCATGTATTCGTCGGCCGCGTAGCAGTTGCCGCTGGCGCAGGACTGGAAGCCGATGGCAACGGCCATTTCTTGGGAGCCGGTGATGGTGTTCTATCGCTGTTAGGTCTGCGTATCGG